AAAATTGCTCAAAAGTTTACAGGAGGTGCCTAGAGGCCAGAATTGAATTTCCTGAAGAGTTCAACTCATTACATTCAGTATCCAGTGAGAAAACAAATTTTTTTGGCTTTTTACCAAATGCCCCCAAAACTTCAACGTTTTCCATAGCCGACATCATCGAAAAAGTCAGTTTTTGACCCAAAAATACAACTCGACAAAAATTGCTCAAAAGTTTACAGGAGGTGCATAGAGGCCAGAATTGAATTTCCTGAAGAATTCAACTCATTACATTCAATATCCAGTGAGAAAACAAACCTTTTTAATTTTTTACCAAATGCCCCCAAAACTTCAACGTTTTCCATAGCCGGCATCATCGAAAAAGTCAGTTTTTGACCAAAAAATCCAACTTGGCAAAAATTGCTCAAAAGTTTACAGGAGGTGCCTAGAGGCCAGAATTCAATTTCCTGAAGAGTTCAACTCTTTACATTCAGAATCCAGTGAGAAAAGAAAATTTTTTAATTTTTTACCAAATGCCCCCAAAACTTCAACGTTTTCCATGGCCGGCATCATCGAAAAAGTAAGTTTTTGACCAAAAAATCCAACTTGGCAAAAATTGCTCAAAAGTTTACAGGAGGTGCCTAGAGGCCAGAATTCAATTTCCTGAAGAGTTCAACTCATTACATTCAGTATCCAGTGAGAAAACAAAACTTTTTAATTTTTCACAAAATGCCCCCAAAACTTCAACGTTTTCCATAGCCGGCAATATCGAAAAAGTCAGTTTTTGACCCAAAAATCCAACTTGGCAAAAATTGCTCAATAGTTTACAGGAGGTGCCTAGAGGCCAGAATTCAATTCCTTGAAGAGTTCAACTCTTTACATTCAGAATCCAGTGAGAAAAGAAAACTTTTTAATTTTTTACCTAATCCCCCAAAACTTCAATGTTTTCCATAGCCGGCATCATCGAAAAAGTCAGTTTTTGACCCAAACATCCAATTTGGCAAAAATTGTTCAAAAGTTTACAGGAGGTGCCTAGAGGCCAGAATTCAATTCCCTGAAGAGTTCTACTCTTCAGAATCCAGTGAGAAAACAAAACTTTTTAAATTTTTACCAAATGCCCCCAAAACTTCAACGTTTTCCATAGCCGGCATCATCGAAAAAGTCAGTTTTTGACCCAAAAATCCAACATGACAAAAATTGCTCAAAAGTTTACACGAGGTGCCTAGAGGCCAGAATTAAGTTCCCTGAAGAGTTCAACTCATTACATTCAGTATCCAGTGAGAAAACAAAACTTTTTAATTTTTTACAGAATGCCCCCAAAACTTCAACGTTTTCCATAGCCGGCATCATCGAAAAAGTCAGTTTTTGACCCAAAAATCCATCTCGACAAAAATTGCTCAAACGTTTACACGAGGTTCCTAGAGGCCAGAATTCCCTGAAGAGTTCCACTCATTACATTCAGTATCAAGTGAGAAAACAAAACTTTTTGGCTTTTTACAAAATGCCCCCAAAACTTCAACGTTTTCCATAGCCGGCATCATCGAAAAAGTCAGTTTTTGACCCAAAAATCCAACTCGACAAAAATTGCTCAACAGTTTACACGAGGTGCCTAGAGGCCAGAATTGAATTCCCTGAAGAGTTCAACTCATTACATTCAGTATCCAGTGAGTAAACCAAACTTTTTGGCTTTTTACAAAATGCCCCAAAAACTTCAACGTTTTCCATAGCCGGCATCATCAAAAAAGTCAGTTTTTGACCCAAAAATCCAACTTGACAAAAATTGCTCAAAAGTTTACATGAGGTGCCCAGAGGCAAGAATTCAATTCCCTGAAGAGTTCAACTCATTACATTAAGAATCCAGTGAGAAAACAAAACCTTTTAATTTTTTACCAAATGCCCCCAAAACTTCAACGTTTTCCATAGCCGGCATCATCAAAAAAGTCAGTTTTTGACCCAAAAATCCAACTTGGCAAAAATTGCTCAAAAGTTTACAGGAGGTGCCTAGAGGCCAGAATTGAATTTCCTGAAGAGTTCAACTCATTACATACAGCATCCAGTGAGAAAACAAAACTTTTTGGCTTTTTACCAAATGCCCCCAAAACTTCAACGTTTTCCATAGCCGGCATCATCAAAAAAGTCAGTTTTTGACCCAAAAATCCAACTTGGCAAAAATTGCTCAAAAGTTTACAGGAGGTGCCTAGAGGCCAGAATTGAATTTCCTGAAGAGTTCAACTCATTACATTCAGTATCCAGTGAGAAAACAAAACTTTTTGGCTTTTTACCAAATGCCCCCAAAACTTCAACGTTTTCCATAGCCGGCATCATCGAAAAAGTCAGTTTTTGACCCAAAAATACAACTCGACAAAAATTGCTCAAAAGTTTACAGGAGGTGCATAGAGGCCAGAATTGAATTTCCTGAAGAATTCAACTCATTACATTCAATATCCAGTGAGAAAACAAACCTTTTTAATTTTTTACCAAATGCCCCCAAAAACTTCAACGTTTTCCATAGCCGGTACATCCAAAAAGTCAGTTTTTGACCAAAAAATCCAACTTGGCAAAAATTGCTCAAAAGTTTACAGGAGGTGCCTAGAGGCCAGAATTCAATTTCCTGAAGAGTTCAACTCTTTACATTCAGAATCCAGTGAGAAAAGAAAATTTTTTAATTTTTTACCAAATGCCCCCAAAACTTCAACGTTTTCCATGGCCGGCATCATCGAAAAAGTAAGTTTTTGACCCAAAAATCCAACTTGGCAAAAATTGCTCAAAAGTTTACAGGAGGTGCCTAGAGGCCAGAATTCAATTTCCTGAAGAGTTCAACTCATTACATTCAGTATCCAGTGAGAAAACAAAACTTTTTAATTTTTCACAAAAAGCCCCCAAAACTTCAACGTTTCCATAGCCAGCATTATCGAAAAAGTCAGTTTTTGACCCAAAAATCCAACTTGGCAAAAATTGCTCAATAGTTTACAGGAGGTGCCTAGAGGCCAGAATTCAATTCCCTGAAGAGTTCAACTCTTTACATTCAGAATCCAGTGAGAAAAGAAAACTTTTTAATTTTTTACCAAATCCCCCAAAACTTCAATGTTTTCCATAGCCGGCATCATCGAAAAAGTCAGTTTTTGACCCAAACATCCAATTTGGCAAAAATTGTTCAAAAGTTTACAGGAGGTGCCTAGAGGCCAGAATTGAATTTCCTGAAGAGTTCAACTCATTACTTTCAGTATCAAGTGAGAAAACAAAACTTTTTGGCTTTTTACAAAATGCCCCAAAAACTTCAACGTTTTCCATAGCCGGCATCATCGAAAAAGTCAGTTTTTGACCCAAAAATCCAACTCGACAAAAATTGCTCAAAAGCATACAGGAGGTGCCTAGAGCCCTTTAAATTGAATTCCCAGAAGAGTTCAACTTATTACATTTAGAATCCAGTGAGAAAACAAAACTTTTTTATTTCTTACCAAATGCCCCCAAAACTTCAACGTTTTCCATAGCCGGCATCATCAAAAAAGTCAGTTTTTGACCCAAAAATCCAACTCGACAAAAATTGCTCAAAAGTTTACATGAGGTGCCTAGAGGCCAGAATTCAATTCCCTGAAGAGTTCAACTCATTACATTAAGAATCCAGTGAGAAAACAAAACCTTTTAATTTTTTACCAAATGCCCCCAAAACTTCAACGTTTTCCATAGCCGGCATCATCGAAAAAGTCAGTTTTTGACCCAAAAATCCAACTCGACAAAAATTGCTCAAAAGTTTACAGGAGGTGCCTAGAGGCCAGAATTGAATTTCCTGAAGAGTTCAACTCATTACTTTCAGTATCCAGTGAGAAAACAAAACTTTTTAATTTTTTACCAAATGCCCCCAAAACTTCAACGTTTTCCATAGCCGGCATCATCGAAAAAGTCAGTTTTTCACCCAAAAATCCAACTCAACAAAAATTGCTCAAAAAATTACACCAGGTGCCTAGAGGCCAGAATTGAGTTCCCTGAAGAGTTCAACTCATTACATTCAGTATCCCGTGAGTAAACAGAAGTTTTTGGCTTTTTAAAAAATGCCCCCAAAACTTCAACGTTTTCCATAGCCGGCATCATCGAAAAAGTCTGTTTTTGACCCAAAAATCCAACTCGACAAAAATTGCTCAACAGTTTACACGAGGTGCCTAGAGGCCAGAATTCAATTCCCTGAAGAGTTCAACTCATTACATTCAGTATCCAGTGAGTAAACCAAACTTTTTGGCTTTGTACAAAATGCCCCCAAAACTTCAACGTTTTCCATAGCCGGCATCATCGAAAAAGTCAGTTTTTGACCCAAAAATCCAACTTGACAAAAATTGCTCAAAAGTTTACACGAGGTGCCTAGAGGCCAGAATTCAATTCCCTGAAGAGTTCAACTCATTACATAAAGAATGCAGTGAGAAAACAAAACTTTTGAATTTTTTACCAAATGCCCCCAAAACTTCAACGTTTTCCATAGCCGGCATCATCGAAAAAGTCAGTTTTTGACCCAGTAATTTGTTTTCTTAGCACATAACCTTGCCAAACAATAGTTTCTGCTCAGGGTCTGTCTCGATTCATATCCTGGGACAAGTTCCAGACAAGTTGTGGAAATTGTATCGGGTGTACCGTAAGTTGCAGGATTCTGAACAACTTCCTCACAATCTTCCCGCAATGAAGTGATCAGTATTAAATAAGACATAGGGGTTAGCATGGTGGACATGATCAATGAATGGGAGGTTTGCGGTAACACCAGGTGAATGAAAGATATCTCTATGTGAGTTGTGTGGTTCTGAGAAGAACCAGTTGGTTTAACTCGACTTTTCGAACAGTATGCTCTGCTCTTTACTGGTTTTGGCGAGTCAAGCAGTTGCTAATGAAAATTTCATTGGAACACGTCGGGGACAAATGCAGAGCTTCAACTGGATAAAGTGAATGACTCTATCCGCAACTTGTCCAGAACTCGTCCCGGATATGAATCGAGAAGGGTCCTAAGCAGCTCCATCAAATTGGGCCAAGATGTACATCTGTACCTGTTGTACAGGAGCTCGACGAAGTCCTTGCCGGGCAGCATGATGTTAACACTGGGGACCACAAGCTCCACGACAATACGGGCGCTACTGATGGCCTTCTCACTAAACTCTCTCATCTCTTCTTGGTCTCCTGGCATCACCATCTACACGGTAAAAAAAAGGGAAAAAAAGGACATATCACTATCTACATGCTGAGAAACAAAAACAACAAATCTTCACAAATACAAATTCCATCTGATAAATAGTTTGGTTCCAGTGACCCATGCTGTATCAGATTCGAACCAGCCAGCCGACCCCGGTGGTTGAGTTGTAAGATGTCTGAGCTGGTAAGCAGGAGGTTTGAATCCCACCCGAATAGCTTGATATTTAACTCGATACTAGAGTACTTGTAATACACTTGTGAAGACTAGACCTGTGCATAAAAATACAAAATATTGTACAACAAACACTCTTTAACTCTCCCACTCTCAGTGATAATATGCAGAGAGTTACCCTATACATCAAAATCTATCAGGTGACAGGTTTTTAACAGGTCTGTAAGCTGGCCTCATATTATTTGCGGGCTGTGGTAGGTATGTTAACTCAGGGTACCATGCCTTGACTGGCATTGATTGCAGCTATCCGAAAAGTAACTGGCGTACTTATTGTTGAAAAACATACTTAGTTGAAAGATAGTAAGGGGACTAAACTCACTGTGAAATTATTCTTTCTGGCAAGCTGTCATTTTGAAGTAATCAACGAAAGAAGGCCTTTCCAACGGTGCGTCTTAAGACGCACCGTTGGAAATTTCTGTTAGTAGTTCGGTTTTTATACTCGGCGAAGCACGCGCAAGCGTTGACACGACGCACACGCGCGTGCCGTTGCTATAATTCGTCGGAGCAGTGCGCGACATCGCGTATAGCTGCAATCGGCTCAGTGAGAACGTGTCTCGGACGCTGAATTCAGGCCCAATTCAAAACATGATTCAGCAACTTTTGATTTGAAATTAAGATCCTAGAAATTGCTGTTTTTCTCGGAATATACAGCTGAAGCTGAGCTGCAACTTCATCACGTTAGTTGTTCAGCACCATTCTTTAGATTTGAAGCACGTTTGTTGCTTCAAACGAACAAAATGCACAAATTACAAATGATGGACTATACCTTTAACAACAGTTAGCAGTTATAAAAGCAGAAATGAAAAACATTCAGGATATTACTTGATACATAAATACTTATGTTGACTTGACAATTTTTTTTACAATTCATATCACAAAGCAGATGACAAATGTATGAAAAAGCCTGACATAAATGCAGACATTGGTATTTTTTGGCTTCATGTTTTTGTTTTGGTTCTGACTAACCTGCTCGCTGTCATACATGACGCGTTTGGACGAGAACGGAGACGCCTCCGGCTTCTCAAAGTGACACGCCCCCTCCCAGGAGTGGACAGGCGGGGAGGTATCGCTGTCTGCGGCATCCTCAAAGACTGACGTCTCGCTCCTCGGGTACAGCTTCAATACCAATCTAAACAAGGAACCAACATAGGGAGGTTTGTGAAATCTGGGGCATGTCTCCGGCTTTGGCTTCAGGAGAGATTTGAGGCCCCTGCGACTTGGGGGTCTCTGGCTTAATACAGATGCTTAAAGCCTTTTCACAATAGACAAAAGTTGGGGTTGACGCAGGGTTGAAAACATGCGGCGTTTCACACTTGCAAATTTTTAACCCCACGCCAACCCTGGGTCAACCCTGAGATTGATTTCACCCCGGGTTGAACTCAATCAGGGTTCCAGACCAGGGTTGTTGAAATTCTCGCCAGGGTTCAAAACAATAGTAACCACGCGAAATAAGCTTGGTTTGCACAAAACAAGTGTGAAATGATGCAGGAATGAACACAACGTTGAAAAGAAAAACACTCAACCCGGGGTGGCACTGGGTTCACCCAGGGTTGAGTTTGACCCAGGTTTAGAGGATCTAGTGTGAAAAGGCCTATAGAGGTGTCAAGAGGTATCTTTGCTTTTATAATTCAGTATAAATTAATGAACAAGCTGTCTACTCATGTGCATCTCTGTGGAGCAAAAGCACTTCCTCAAAGATGACTGCAATGCAAATGAAAATCAAACAAGCTCTGTATTATGAGGCCAAAGTATAGAGTATCTCCATTGATGCGGACTTGAATTTCTTCTCAATGATATTGAAGCCAGAGATGAAGCCTAAGTCGCAGACCAGGCCAGGGTTTCAAAAACCAGCATACAGCCTGGAGACCAGGGCCCAACTTCATAGCGCTGCTTAACAGCCGACTTTGTGCTTACCGAACCTCCATCTATTTCATAGGGACCGTTAAGCAGTAAGCACAGCAAAAGCACGCTTAACCCCAGAAGAAAACTTTGCTTAAATCAGTGACGTAACAATAGAAATCTCCATGCGCGCGCAACCGTTAGCATGAAATAGTGCTTAAGCAGCAGCATGATTTTCTGCTATAGTAAGCACAACTTTTCTGCTTACTGTTAAGCAGTGCTATGAAATTGGGCCCAGGGCCCAATTTTATGGCTCTGCTAACCACAGAATTCTGCGCTTACGATTACCATTTTGTGCTAACCGCGCTAGCAGAAAAAGTCTGTGCTAACCCTGTAAGCACAGAATCCTTAGTTAGCGGATGTACGCATGCGCAGAAACCAAAATTCCTCGCTAACCCATGAAATACACTTACCGTAAGCACAGAATTTTCTGCTACAGTAAGCAGGGATTTTTGACTAACGGTAAGCAGAACCATGAAATTGGGCCCTTATCTCATACATGTATACCTAGACATGTAAATTAAAGTTTTCTACAGGCGAGTTGAACATGGATCATTCTGTAGTATGGGAGCCTAGTTTGTTAGTCATACAAGAAAATTCATGTTATTTTGCTATGCACTTTTTTCCTGGTTAGTAAGTCCATGAATTTGGGCCCTGGTAAATTCTGATTAATCGTCTTGTTGAACATAAAAAGTACAAGTCCTACTTTGGCAAGTCAAAGTCCCTCTCTGCTGAGTTGGTGTCGAGGTTGCCGTGATGAACGCGGAGGAAGGAAATTGGAGATTCTTGAGGACCAAGTTGAAGCGAGGCTGTGGGGGAAAAAAACAAAGCAATAAACATTACATACTGAAGGAAATTATGAAGCAAGTTCGTGCACTAACTATAGCTAAACATAGATTGACTAACTTTGCTTGAAGGATGGGCGGGTGCACTACTTTCGTCGACTATTTGGAATTATATAACACCCAAGTAAATCCTTGTCATTTGATTTGAGGATTGTAGGTCACGCGGCATTCATTAATCGAACCATTGCACGGCCTACATCATAACCATGCATTTTTCGTCCCATCCCTTTGATCTATTGCACACCGTGCACACGCTAAGCCTTGCGCAGCGGCCCGGCGCTATACTATTTTTGCACTATTTCGAGAATGTCATGCGTTATAGCAGTACAAAACTTGCATATGAAGTTGATGCAGTTGCCTTGATGATGGTTTTTGCATTGTTTTAAGAACTAACAATGTTAATTTTCATAATTGTCAATGATTTGACTTTTAAACCTTTGTTAGCCCTGAACAAGCTGAAAAAAGGAGTGGTTATGGTACAATTTTGTGAGTTTTGTTTGTTCTTCTAGTTTTATCCTCCAATCGAATGACAAAGATTTACTTGGATGTTATATAAAATAAATAATAAATGTTTTGCATTTGTTCGCCTCGTTGAATGGAACATTCAATCTTTCAACTCATGAAAATATTTTCACCATTGCACTCATAAACATTTATTATTTGTATACCGTACCGCGGGGCATCGTCAAATTGCCGGTTACGAATGGCCATACGCATCATAAAGCACAACAGGGAGCTACAATCCCGGCCAAAATGGTTGGGACACTTCCTGAGCCTGTCACGGTCACCCACTCCCCCGCTCCCCCGGTCAATGTTGTTCTCTCCAGCTGATGGAGCACACACCGCCCAATGAGAGACAACATTGACCGGGGGCCGGGGGGTGGGAGGCCCAGCGAGATTTGGCCAGGATTGTAGGACCAAGACATTTTGTTATGATGTTCTGACCATCGTTTGGTTAGAGGCGTTTGCACGTTGCTATCTGTGCGCAGGCGTAAGTTACGTCACGAATCAACCACTAGTCAACTAATGGTCCTTGCCCGAACTTGCTTTTTGCTCCATCGCGATGACAGGTTCCACATAAATGTTTCAATCCATAATACACTGATGAACCTAGCCTTACAGCCATTTGGTTATCGGCAGTCTTGTGAGCGTGTTTCCAAGAATGTTAGCTCTAATTCCACTCTTGACCTTGTGATTCTGTAATCTTATCGGTTGCCACGCGCCTTGGCTGTACCACCTCCCCTGTAGTAGGATTGGCATACTTCTTCATTAAGCTCCCGTGTCACATGGAATGCAGTGCCATATTCATACATGCATGGGGGTAAATTTAGTTGCCTGTATAAGTCATAGGTCATTTTACTGGTCTGAGACTCTAACTCCACCATCCACGATTATTTTGCATTTAGACTTATTCCAAGCTTACTTTTTTCAAGTCTAAGGCCAAAAAAAAAAAATCAATAGGAATTGATGCGGCGACGCGTTTTGTTTGTTTGTTTGTTTGTTTGGGGTTTTTTTAGCACTTTTTTTTTTTTTCAAGCTTGAATTGTACAGACAAGGTGGGTACTATTTTGCTTTTTTGTGTCCTCATTTACATTGGTGTCCTCCATAATTTGTCTTGGTGCCCTCCATTATTTGCCTTGACGCAATTTCCCCATTCCTTGGTGCTCCTTGGTACAAAAATTTGAGGAGGTGCGGCAATAAAGGGCGCTGTTGTAGTTTCTGTGGTAAATTTGAAGGAAAAAAAAGGTTGACGCGCATGATTGAAATCGACGCGCAAGCTGACCGGAGACCGACTATTTTTGGTTGTTTGCTTAACCAGAAGTTAAAAGCTGTGCCTCGAGTTGTATAACAAGGCTTCGACTCGCCCGTCTGCTTTGCCACCTGTCGCCCGCTTCGCTGCCTGTTGTACTTAGGTCAAATATAGCAGACATTTTCACAATGCAAGTTTTTGCAAACCAAAATACTAAGATCTTTAGCAATAAAAGGACCTCAGCTTACTCTGCAGCTCCCTGCACTGTAGCAGCAGGGTCTGGTAAGGTTTACCGTCGCCGAGTACCGTTCTGAATTCTGTCTCCAGGAGTTCTAGATGGAGAATCTCATCTCGTAAGGAACGCTTCCACCAGACGCAGTCGCTCATCTCCCTCAGATCAGGTATGGGAAATCTACAGGGGTCCAGTGAAAAAAAAGACCACATGAAATACTGATGAATATGATTATTTATTTATTTTGTTTTTTTATTGGATGTAATGCACAAACTTTTTTTTTTAAGGAAAAATACAACATTTGCAAACATCAAAACATAAAACTACCAAATTATTTTGAAATACCTTGCTGGACTGTTTGCGAACGACATTCTAAAGCATCCTGTAAAATCATGGCACCCGGTGTGCTGTCATTTTCAAGAAAAGTGGTATTTCTGTATCAATTTCCAACGCTGGTATTTTTTCAAATACTGGCCCCAATTGACCATATTTAGTTAGTCCGCATTTGTTTGCAATTGATTACACACCTATAAACAGGTACAAGCCAGCTAGCCCGATTCCCTAACCTTACAATTCCATAACGTCTATAAATTTCTCTGTTTCATCTTGAATGGAGTCAGGGAACCAGACTACAGGAAAATGATTGTTTTTCTTTGATTTCATAGCATCTACAAACGCAAAACATCAAAAACGTCAGAGTAATAATATTTGCTATATATTACCAACCCCCCAAATCCACCCATTTCTGAAAATTACAGCAAAAACAAATAATGTATATTCCCTTTAACTGGTTAATGAAAAAAATCAAACTTCCCTAGTGTTTAAATGAAACTGAAATTTTATATAATAGACATTGTAGTTGAATGAGCTGCACTCTAGTTTTATTTTACTTGTGAAAGACAAGTGATTGACTAGTGATTGACTAGTGATTGACTAGTGACTGACTAGTGATTGACTAGTGATTGACTAGTGACTGACTAGTGATTGACTAGTGATCGACTAGTGATTGACTAATGATCGACTAGTGATCGACTAGTGATGGACTAGTGATGGACTAGTGATTGACTAATGATTGACTAGTGATGGACTAGTGACTGAATTGTGATTGACCTGGGAATCCACTCACCTAAATGCAATATGTGCAACTGGGCAAGAGACGCGTAGATCTAGGAGTTGATCTAAGCCAGAGGGTGTGTCTTCAAGGGCCTGGTTGAAGAGGGCTTGCTTGTTCTGGAAAGCAATTCACACAGCACAGCATTGATGTGGGTTAATGTATCAACTGATGAGGCAGGACCAATTTGGACAGTGTAAATTGAGGGACACATTTAGATTTCTGTGGGAAACTTCACAGATACAATTTGTGGATTATTTATCAACCCATGTAGGCACATACACTGCCAGTTTTGTAACATGCTCAGAACACCAGGTTTTTTTTGGGGGGGGGGAACCATATTTTATTCTGTTGACATCAAGGCCAGAGTAGTTTTTTCCCCTGGTGGGGGTAAAGGAATGATTATTTCTGTCCTAAGCCTTGGTAAATTACTGAAACACAAAAATACTTCAAAATTATTATTTTTCTATTTATCCATCAGTTAATATAAAACAGGAATCAAAGTTTTGTAAATCTATAATGAGGAACCAACAATTTCTACAAGAGGAACCAATTTTAAATGCGCCATGGTTTACAACAATAAAAAAAAAATCTGAAAATGAACTCACCAAGTTAACAGCACCACCATACAGTGACCGATAACCGCCGTTTCCCATGGGCGTGTTGCTCAGCCCCACTGGGTGTGGGTGTAGCAGGGTATACAAGCGGTCCACTATGGTCACGTCCAGCTCACAGGCCAGATGGCCAAGGTCCACGGTGACCTCTGACTTCGGCTTGTGAACGATACGGCGTTGGCTTCCCTATGGAGGGCCATTAGTGACAAAATATACTTTGCTGCTTTTACAATATGACTCTCGTTAATACAAACTCTGTTAATTCAAATTCTGGTTATAGTGAACATAAATCTTTGGTCCCGACTGTACATTTGTGTGCACAATGAATGGTTACAGCACTCCACTTAATACAAACTTTGGATATAACAAACATTTTGCAATAGACTTTTCTGCCTTTACAATATGACTCTCGTGAATACAAACTCTGTTAATACAAATTCTGGTTATAGTGAACAAAAACCTTGGTCCTGAGTGCGCATTTATGTGCACAATGAATGGCACAGGCACTCCACTTAATACAAACTTTGGATATAACAAACGTTTTTGCTAGGTCTGACTGAGTTTGTATTAACCCTAACGTCCTAAGGGCCCTAAGGGTCAAGGATAATACTACAGAATACTACATGTGTTGTGCACACTTGTATAGAAAGAAATGTACACTACAGGTTACTACTCAGTAGTGTTTTGTAGCTTTAGGTGGACTTAGGGTTAACGAGAGTCAAATGTGCTTGTCTTTCAGGATAAAAACAGGTTGTGAAGACCTATTACAACAAATTTATTTTCTTATCTATAAGAAAGATTCAGATATACTTAGGAGACATTACTATTTTTTGCAGTGCAGTTTGCATTTTTTCATTACTCCGAAATTTCTGGGTAATTTTTGTTTTCATATTTCACAAGTTCCTCATTCAAACATAGCTAAACAACATGTGCAAGCCCCTTTAAAATCGATTGAACATTTGATGATGATATAAATTAATGATAATTATTCTATCATTCTGTACCTGGCTACTTGATCTCTGTATACTCTTCAGCCTGATTCCTAGTGAGGGTTTCACGGCAACGTATTCATTTTCAATGCCATCTTCTTCCTTGAATGATAATATCTGAGCGAAAGAAAGAAAGAAAGAAAAATGTTAATAACATTAATGATAAAAACTTACATCAATATTTACTTGTCTGATTTTTGGTACTCGTACTCATGAAAATGTACTTATACTCATACTCGTGCTTGTACTCTAAAAAACAGCCTTGTACTCGTACTCATACTCAAGTTTATATTTTGGTACTTGCACTCGTGCCTGTACTCTTAAAACAGCCTTGTACTCGTACTCACACTCAAGTTTATATTTTGGTACTTGCACTCGTGCTTGTACTCTTAAAAACAGCCTTGTACTTGTACTCATACTCGAGTTTATATTTTGGTACTTGCACTCGTGCTTGTACTCTTAAAAACAGCCTTGTACTTGTACTCATACTCGAGTTTATATTTTGGTACTTGCACTCGTGCTTGTACTCTTAAAAACAGCCTTGTACTTGTACTCATACTCGAGTTTATATTTTGGTTCTTGCACTCGTGCTCTTAAAAAAAGCCTTGTACTCATACTCATACTCAAGTTTATGTTTTGGTACTTGTACTCGTACTCTTAATAACAGCCTTGTTCTCATACTCATACTCAACTTTATGTTTTGGTACTTGTACTCGTACTCTTAAAAACAGCCTTGTACTCGTACTCATTGTCAAGTTCATTATTTGGTACTCGTACTCATACTTGTACTCTTCAAAACAACCTTGTACTCATACTCATACTCGAGTTCATTATTTGGTACTTGTACTCGTACTCTTAAAAACAGCCTTGTACTCGTACTCATGACAAAGTACTCATATTCCTACTCGTACTCATGGCAATGTACTCGTACTAGTACTCATGGGAATGTACTCGAGTACTACACTGGCAGGGACAGACAATCCTTACCTCTATGTGTTGGCAAGATGGCAAGTCATTGACAAAGCGGTCGTGACCGAAACTCCCTGTGGAGCCACTCCTTGGCCGATCAAACAGACACTCGTACAGCTCCAGCGTACCAAAGGAGAGATCGGCTGTCACGGCTGTCACGTTGGGGGCGCTCTTACGGTCACAGTCTAATGTGACCGGGGCTGCTGTTAACCTAACATAAGATTCATAGAAAGAACCAAAAATTAAAGATGCGTTCCCTGTGCTTTTCAAGATCTACCTCAAAAAATAGATGTGTTTTTTTCGATTGCTATTTTCCTAGAATATATAAAAGTTATTCACTTATGAGGGAGACATTGAAGGGAAAAACTACCAAAGTTATTGAATTATTTCATAACAAAAATTGAGTTATTGGCTGCCAGGCAATAATTTTGCTCTCACAGGGCGGGTTTCATTGTATCTGCACCAAGCAGCTCACTAACGTTTTGGTTGTAAAAGTAAAGGTAAACTATAGACCCCTAATAATTACGATGAGAGGCAATACCCTCGCATTATCTGGGATAGACCTTTATCATGCTGCCACCATTTTAGTAATGTCCCCTGTATCCAATAACAGTACTGAATGATAATGCTTTTGTGCAAAAAGGAACCAGACTGTTTTTCCTTCCAGCCTCACTTTGGTTACGTTGATTTGAATGGGAAAAAAATCAAGATGGCCGCAACATGATAATGGCCTATTGCATTGGTTGCTATACGTCGTGCTTCAAGTAAAATTGGATATTATTTTTCATAGCTTTTCAAATAACACAGAGACTGATTGCCTGAATTTTTCTTTAATTAATTAATTTTGTGTTGGTGTGGGTTTCAGATAGGGTTTGCGGTAATATAAAAAAACTGTGTTTCTTTCTTGGGTTGGGAGCAAAAAATAGGGTCGGTCAGAAACGAGAACCGAAGAATAAAAAAGGAATGCCTTTAACTGCAGAACAATACATGTGGGTAGTTGACCATGAAGTTGGTAAGCAGCCTCTTGCAGTCCAACGCTTACTGTTGTAGTATACTTAGGGAGTCGGGTTGGCGCAGTGGTTACTGTCCTCGCCTTCCACCGCTATGGGCCGGGTTCAATTCCCGCCCAGACCACATGTGGATTGGGTTTTCAGTCCCTACCTGATTCCGTGGGTTTTCCCCAGAATATTCCTCTGGGGTTTTCCTCCCACCTCTAAAACTGTAATTTCATCTCATTGTCTCCTCTCTACAGGTTTCTACTGGCTTGCGAGCTACAGTGCATAGGGCACTTTTGAGGAATCCTTGGTTTTATACGTGTAATGGAACCATTAAGGAGACATGTTATTGTAATTTCTTCGCACGATGGGAGACATCGGTCATTAGGGAGACATTTTCATGTCTCCCTAATGTCACAGCCCCCCTTAAGAGGCAAAATATTGCTGTCGCAATTAGATTATATTTGTTGCCCGTGGTATAATTAGCAAACATACCGAAATTCATGGAAAAAGGACAAGGGAATAATGGGTTAAGGCACATTTAAGTTTGAAAAATTTGTGCACAAATCTATGAGGATGTCTCCCAAAAGTCCAATCCAGGGTAATAAGAACAACAATAATAATAATAAATGAACATTTATAAAGCGCCAAAATCCACCTAAAAGGACACTCAAGGCGCTTTACAAGTTTAAAAAATAAACCATTATTTTAATATTATAACCAGAAAGAAATTTTAACAAAAAATAAACAAATTTAAAAAGGAATAAAAAAATACTGTGAATCCCTTCAACTGATCTGTGTTACCTGAGATGGTCGTATGGGCAGGCCCTGGCAAACCGTTCCTTCCATTCCCCCTGGTCCTTCTTGCCGTACCCTTGCTTGCCCAGGATGTGGAAGAAATACTCTGCCTTCTCTTGCAGGGCATCTTGCTGCCCTTGCTGCGTGCCCCTTCCCGTCTTGAGGGGCGACTGGTGGTAGCTGCTGCCCGTAGGGCTGGTGTTGAGGGGGGTGCGGGCGGGATCGTTGTGGAGGACGGTCAGGGACAGGCTGCTGAAGCGTAGCTTGTAGCGGGTGAGCTCGGCGGTGGGATCTTCTAACTGCTCTCTCAGCCCTGGGGAGAGTGGGGGAGGGGGTGGGGTTTAAAGGAGGTTGTGATTGACGTAATATTAAAGGAGGTTGTGATTGACAAAATATTAAAGGAGGTTGGGATTGACACAATCAAATAGATTTCTGAGCAATTAATCCACAATATAATGTATGAAGAGATAAAGAGAAGGTTTAGATTTAGCCTATGAATGCCCACTGGTGGCAGTAGCCAATGCAACAATCGACTAGCCAAGGCACCAGAGAAGCATCAATGCTACTGTGGTGAGATGCGAGCGCTTTTACGCAGTGCGCCACCCATGCCATACAATGACTGAATATTGGACAAGCAAAGGCTACAGACATTAACAGACACCTCAGGAGTCAAGCTCTGACCTATGCCTGTCCTTATCCAGAAATATTCTATTGCTGCTTTCATGTTACTTCCACTTCTCTTGTACTACAGCATTTTTAAAGCAGTTTAACCGAGGATGATTCTAATAGTAGCAATCCATCGGGTTTCAAAATACCAGGCATAGAGAACTGTCAATTGAGTCAAAATGATGTTGTTACATAAAACATAAGGAGGTTTTTTTCGTCATCTAGGAGCCAGTTTGGGCAAGGACCAATTAGTTGACTTGTGGTTGATTCGTGACATAACATGATCCGGTTCCAAATAGTCGGCTACAGTAGTCCAACCATCCTGCGTTTGAGCAAAGTTAGTCAAACTATGGTTAATGAAAGTTCGCGCCCGAACTTGCTCCAATGTGAATAAAAATTGGATTAGTAAGTTAGCTCTCTTTAACCCATGGAAGTACATGCCAAAGGTTACAAACTTAGCAGGAATGACCAAAACATTAGCAGAAATGAGAAAGCAAAATAGAATGGGTAGTTGAAAATAAAATCTGGTTTCGGTATTACCTTTCTTTGATCTGGATCTCTTTGGCTGGGTGGTTTTAGGTACAGCAGAGCCAAACGACGTCAAGCTGGGACCTCTGTACATTGTGTTGCCATACATCACCCTGGGAAAGCTACTTCCTGTTAACGATAAGACAGAGGTTAAGATTTCTGTTATTAAGTGACAGATGAACTGAGTAAGAGCAACTATAGACTCCGTGCACAAAAAGTTGAAGGGGCTCTGTGAACACTTACGAAAACCCCAGTGCGCGTAATGTTTTGCATGTGTATCGTGCAAAGTACACGCTTTCAAGCAGACCCAAGTGAAAAATAGGAGAACTGAAGGATCAAATTTTCAAACCCCCCCCCCCCCCAAAGTACAAAATTAGGCTTTTGGAGGACAAAATCGGGATAAAAGTAGGACTTTTGCGGGCTGTTAGGATTAATTTTGGTTGATAATCACCCATGTCCACTGCATCATAAGCCTCATTTGGCATGTTCTGTACTCACAACACTTGTGCTATATCCTCAACTAAACTCTTGGAAGTACAGATGCAGTACTCGTGCGCCCCAGCTCTTCATAGTGGGATTTACATATGACGGTGTGTAACACTGTTATAAACAAGTCAGGTGTGTTTACAAACACAAATGCCCCGCAACCGTGACTGTTCCCATGACATGACACCACTCTTTTAACATCAACTTACATGTACATGTACCTGGGTCACATGGAACGTTCATTGACATCTTATTGTTTTCTGTAGGTTATGAATCAATGGCCCCGTGTCATAGGAAATTCTTAAAATCCATATCTTTGCAACAATAAATTTCATTCATAAGATGGAATTTTACATCAGATTCGAACCAGCCAACCGATCCCGTTAGCTCGGTGGTCGAGTGGTAAGACGTCTGCACTAGAAAGCAGGAGGTCGTGGTTCAATTCCCACCCGAGTGATTTTTTTTCCAACTTTCACTGGGGAGGTTACACACTGAGTATACAGTGTTTAAACGTCAGTGCAGGGCAAAACCTAGTTTGATTTATAATAAATTTCATATTCGAAGAGTTTCACATACTTTTTACAACAAAAATGAATTTGACAACAAAAATTTGAATCTGGCAGCTTGGAACTTTTTAATTTTGTTCCATGTTTGACCATTTGAAGCATGAATATCTGTCTAACAATTGTGGAATATAAGTGTTTTAAGGAAAAACAATTGGCATCTTTCATTTTCATGACTACAACACTTTTTACAAACTATTACAAAGGATATTTTCACAGTAGTTTACTTTTCTGACATGTCAATAAATGTGAACTTTAAACAGCTATAACTAGTCAACGTAATGTCCAACTAAAGTGTAATCAACAATAACGTAAGAAGAATTTTATTCTCTTTCCTAATACCCACAAACCCTCATTTCGACCTATGCCCAGTTCTGTCTCATTTTACCTGAACGCCTCACATGTTCTCTTAGAGACTCGTTTCGGGGGACCCGGTCACGTATAATCTTTCCAGGATTTTGGTGAGAAATTTCATAGCATCTTTTCACAACATTTATCATAACAAGACTTTTTTCTTTAGATTTTTGAACCACGGACCTGTCCTGGATGTGTCTGTTGAGCTACTGCTGAGAGTGCTGGTGAAGGAGGATTCCATGTCCTCCAAGGTGCCCGTGTGTGACATGGACATCAAGCTGCCAGTCATGGAGAAGAACAACTCATCATCTTCTAGAGAAAACAATGAAAGAAAGTAGAAAAATTACTGTTGTGTACTTATTACTGAGAGAAATAATCTTGAGACTAAAGCTAAGTAAAAAAAAAAAACAGTTTTCTGTCCCCGTCTGCTATCTTTTTTCCCGCCCGCCTTCTGTTTTTTATTGTTTTAATTTTTTTGGTAATTATACATTTGCAATGTATTTTTGGGTTTCCACCAAAATTGTAGCTATTTATGCAAGCTCAAAATCTGATAGAAAGGGTGACGGCTCCTTTGGACACAAAAGTATCAGCAAAGGAGTCAAGAGAATGGAAGAATCCATCTAGGAAAATCCATTATCTTAAAAAAAAAAAAACATCAACAATGGCCCACCGCCTATTTTTCAAAAAGCCCAGACGAGAAACTATTTTTGTTTTTTTACTTGGATGATTTTGAAGGATTGAGGCAATGGTCACATCTCCACTGAACAAATTCAAGAAATAACGGATGATTTTGGAGGATTATCCCTAACTCCCTAGGGGGTGTGCAAAATCATATTGAAATTGGAGGATTCAGGACTGTTTGGGCTAAGGCTGCATCCAATTTTTACATGGTAAAGCAATTGGAAGATTTTACAGGATTGAGGATGGTTCCTAGCCAAAAGAGCCTAAGGGTTAGGGTTAAACAAACTTAAACAAAATAGCAAGACAAAAAGCGGCTGATAAGGAGACTAACCCATAAATGACTGCATGGTGAACATATCTAGACCTTCCTGTTCTTCTTCCTCCTTGAGCCCCCAGGATTCCCGCCTTAGTCTGTCCTCCTGCCGTTGTTGCCGTTCCCGGATCAGCTGTTCCTGCAGCTCGCTCTCAATGCGCTGATAGTCCTCGGGTTGCATGAGCTTGTTGGGTTGGCTGCCGCGGGTGCTGGTGACGTCTGAAGTAGCTGAATAACGTATTAACATTAAACCCAGATTCATAAATACCTAAGACAGTGGTTTACAAACATTTAAAATGGTGATTAAACACCGACTGGTTTTAAACACTTCCTGGTGTCACATGAAATTTGAAATGTTTACCCTTTTATTGGTTGAACCCTCACACGTGACCAGTCACTCTCCTAATTATCTTTAATACGCATGCGTTATACAACCAATGAGTCCGCATTTCATACAGTCCTAAATTCACACTGCACCATCGCCCCTCCGTTCTGCGCCACATAGGGCAGTACACGCCATGTGCACGCCAATCTCTATATAAGGAGACTTTTAGTACTGCTCTTGTGAAAAGTTGCATGCCTGGCACTGTTACAGCAAATTCTTGGTTTCATATCATGGGGAAAAAAAACAAGAAAGACGATACTAACCAGGTGAAAGAAAGCCACTGAAGAGCTCCAGGAGTAGATGTACTTGCCTGGGCGCTAGGAAGAGGTTGATGGAGCCGAGGTACGTCTCTACTTCAGCCTAAGAAACAAGAGCAAAAGCAGACCCCTCGGTATTAAGAAACAACAGTCTCAGGCTACGTCCAAAACCATGGCTTATTCTCCAAACTTTGGCTTCATCTCTGCATTCAACAGTCTTTTTAGAAGTGTTTAATGTTTGAAGCAAAGAGAAGATACTTGTTAGACTTGATGCTCCTAAACCAGAAAATGGCCTGGGCCCAATTTCATAGTGCTGCTTAACAGTTAGCAGAAAAGTTGTGCTGAATATAGCTTGCTTAAGCACTATTTCATGGCATGGATGTGCTAACAGTTGCACGTGCATGGAGATTTCCATTGTTACATCACTGATTTAAGCAATTTGTTTCCTCCAGGGTTAAGTGTGCTTTTACTGTGCTTACTGCTTACGGTCTCACTGAAATAGACGGAGGCTCTGTTAGCACATAATCAGCTGTTAAGCAGCGCTATGAAATTGGGCCCTGTATTGAGGTGAAGTTTCCAATGTCAGGGGGTAAAATCATGAAGCTGTAAACAGAAAGCCTGAAGCCGAAATCGAAGCCGAATCAAAGCTGAAGACAAAACCAAGGTACTGTCAATCCCTAATAAGATTACTTTAGGTCTGACAATCCATGGACACCTGCTGCCCACGTCAGTGACAGACACATTTAAGTATGGAAATAGGGGCCCAACACAATTGCTGGAATATCTCTGCAGGTGTTAATAGGCCTTTTCACACTATGAACGTCCGATCCTTGTCGAAATCTACACGGTTCCAACCCGTGTCGACTTCTAAAAACTTCAACACGGTTCAATGTCGCTACGTTTTCACACTACTCATTGCAAACCCAGCGTTTTTGCCACACGTGTAATGTTTCGACCCATGTATTGCGCGATCGTTTCACACTACACACATGGCCGTCCGCCCTACACGTGTTTTGTAGCTCCAACCACGGACCCGCACTTCATGTCAGTCTTTTTTCTGATTTCGGGCCCATTTTACGTCGGAGGATAAAATATTCTGTGACTTCTAGCACCATCGAAAGAATATGCGAAGAACGCACGAAAAACCAAGCATGGTCGGCCGCTTCTACTTTCTAGTGCTTATGAAAAAGCAAGCGCGGTCGGCAAGTGTAGCGTGAATTTAGGTGTTATGAAATACGGACTCATTAAGGTACTGCGCATGCTCATGCATAGATAATTAGGAGAGGGACTGGTCACGTGAAAGGGTTTAACCAATAAAAGGGAAAAGGAGTCCGATTTTCATAAGAGTCCGATTTTCATATCACACCGGTGGTGGCGCGACAGGGCAGCAAGTCAAAGGTTATTTGTATGTTCGTTGCATGCTAAAATTGCATGATGCTGCATGCACGCACTCTCTCGTACTCCGGCCGGTCCGCATCCGATGAGTTGATATGCGGTTGTTGTACATGGGTTGAACGTAACCCAGAAGTGTTCACACTACGGCTTTCAACACGTGTCGAACTTCTCAACACGGATCCAGAATTCTCAACCCACCATCCGAGTAGGGTTATTTTCGACACGGGTCGAGCGCTCTACACGGGTCGGTGCCGTGTTCAAATGTTGTAGTGTGAAAAGGTTAGTCCATTTTACACGTGTCGGACCCGTGTACGACACAGAGATTTTTCGTAGTGTGAAAAGGAATATTGGTCCAACTCAAATAGTGCTTTAGGTTGCACACTTAGGAGGGTAGGTTTACGGATGCACAATGTGATAATGAAATCTCTTTTGGGTGAGTTTGTGTGGTTCTGAAGAGAGAACCTGTGAATTTGACGTTTCAGACAGTATGCTATGCCCGTCATCAAGAGCCTGTTTGAAGTATGCAGTAGTAAGTCTGTTAAGGCAGAAATCTATAACACTTCTGCAACAAGCTATTGACTATTTGAACAACAATTATAGAAACTGGCACCAATGGATTGATAATGTATTTGATACCAACCTTGGGTCCAGCGATATGCTCCTGCTGTTTGACCTTGACCCTGACGTCCTGTTTGCCGGCGCATTCTCCCACGATGCAACTCCCCAGGAGCTCCATGCTTGTCCTCCCACCACCACCCTCCCCCTCCTCGCCCCCTCCCCGGTCAATCCGGGTGTGCTGGGGCGGCATCTCCGGCGAGTGGGCCAGCGAGGGGAACGCGTCCGGCGTCGTTCCCGTCACGTCGATAGAGGACGCCCTGGCGAGGTGCCGCTGGTCCTCGGGAAACTCCTCGCAGTGCACCGTCACCCCCATCATCTGGAAGTTCTTGTGGGCCACGGCCGCCGGCTCAAAGCGGGGTACCTGGGAGGGGTCCACGCTACTGCCGTGGGCCCCCTCGTCAAAGTACCGCAGCCTGACAAGATTAAGGAAGACAGTCAATTTGAAGATAACTTTAGCAGTCACATGACCTAAATATGAACCCTAACCCCTATGGTGTGTGAAAAACATATTTTTTTTGGACTGTTAGGGTTAGACTTTCAGCTATTGCACAGTCCAAAACAACGTTAACTGTTATCCTCATACCACCCCAAACTGCCCCAGCACTCTATGGTTTTATGGTTTCATGGAGGAATAAATACAATGTAAGGCCAAAAAAAAAAAATATTCAGTCTCTGGTCAGACCAAAGTTCCGGAATTGACGCGGCGACGCGGCTTTTTTTTTGTGTTTTTTTTTTTTTTCTTTTCTTGAAGCTTGAATTGTACAGACAAGGTGGGGTACTATTTTGCTTTTTTGGTGTCCTCATGTACATTGGTGTCCTCCATAATTTGCCTTGGTGCAATTTCCCATTCCTTGGTGCTCTTTGGTAAAAAAAATTGAGGAGGTGCGGCAATAGAGGGCGCTGTTGGAGCTACCACGGAACATTTTTTTTGGCCTAATACAATTTAACACAAGTGCTTAAGGCTTAATGGTTTCAAACCAACTGCTTATTAATCCATTAACAGTCTGCATTTATTCCCTGATGAATGTATAAAACCATACAGTGCTGAGGCAATTCAGGCAGCACAGGGAGTAACAGGCAGGGCGGTTCGGGGCAGTACATACATTTTTTTGTAAACTAATAGGTAAATGAATAAAAACATTGTGAAAAATACACAATTGATTTGATAAATGTACAGACTAATCCGGCGAACAAAATTAAATGCCATTTTTTGAGGTGGCAACATGTCCGCATACATGCCGCACGCGTTCTAAACCCTAACCGCCCTGAATCCTTCAAAATCCTCTTTGCCAAAGTGGAGGAATTTGGAGGATTGAGGTTACGTGGCAAAAATACGTTACTGATGTTGTCAAGGTCTTGGGACGGACCTTGTGTTGTTTTTGCTCAGCCAAGCATAAATATAGACCTGGATTATGCTTGAAATCCTCCGTACTGCTCCAGAATGATACTGGCCAAGCCTCAACATATTTACAGTCACTGCCACAGGCTTTTGCAGGATTCAGGCAGTGGTCAACCCTTCACGAACTATATTCAAGAAATAATGGAGGAATTTGCAGGATTGAGGCAATATGCTATTTTTCCATGAGGCCAATTGGAGGATTTTGCAAGATTGAGGCTACATCCTAGCAAAAAGGGAGTTGGGGTTAAATAAAAGGCGCGTGTGCCCATTTTGGTAATCCTATTACCCAGAATGCTTACGTACTACCTGAGCGCAACTCGCGCGAGCCTGAAGCTACCTCAGAAAATGGCTGTCGTCGAAATTAGTCTATAGGAAATTTTGCAAAGCAGCATTTTATCACAGTCTTGAAATTTAAAACAAACCAAAAAAAGGAACCTGACTACATGTACCGGTAGGTTTATTTTAATAATAACAAAAAGAGCAGAATTGAACCCATAATTTTCGGGGGTCAGACAATTTCTTTATTCAATGCTATACTGACCTCCACATTTCAAATGCATGGTATAAGGACTCTTTAATGCAATGAGCCAGTTACGATCATTTTATATTTTTTTTTGGCCCAATTAGATTTCTGTTTCTGCAAAAGACAAAGGTATGGAGTCCTGACCTTTCTATATGTAGTTCTAGTGCTATTCCAGATCGGCACCCGTGAGGTACATGCTCCAGTCGGATAACTGTGTCGATCAGTGTCATCTCTACACGAGTCAGTACTGAAAGAAACAAATAAACAAACAGTTCATGTGAATTCGTGGTAATTAATTTTTTGAAATCAGAAAAAAATTCTATGGGTCATTTTGGTGTGAAGAAATGTGAGGAGCTGCACCTACTACAGAACTGCCATCACAAGAAATAAAGGCATACAAGTATTCTCAGGAAATACCTGGCAACAGCATCTTTTTTTTTCTTCAACCCCAAAATCTCCTCTCTTTTTTTATGGACATCAGACATCTGCAACCTCTCAAGAAGAAAAGGTTTTTGTTTTGGGCACAAACAGATCCATTTTGCGAGCAGACTGGTTCCCGGTCCGCACATTATTGATACTGATTGTGGGGCAGGAACCCGCCTACCCCACGAGAACGGAATTATTGTCTGGCAGCCAATTATTCAAAATTGTCCGGTAAGAATTCAATAACTAAACATGGGCAACAATTTCGGTCGCTGTCTCATTCAAAAGTGAATAACTTCTGTATTGCTAGAAAAAATGGCACTCTAAAATCTATTTTTCGGGATGAAACTAAAAGAGCTTTATTTTACTACATTATTAAAAAAAAATACAGTTCAAATATTATGTAGTGATGTATAGCTTAACTTAAAGTTAAGTAAGTAGGTTAAAATTCCTGTCAAAAGTGGGTTTCCTTCTGTTGGAACCAACCTGTATATCTCAGACATGTTGATGTTACATATCTTGTGTGGACATTCCTTTGTTTTTGTGTAGTTAAGAAAAACCTGTGAAAAAAACTCATTGTACTCACACTGTGAAAACTCTTTCAACCCAATTTTTTTTCTATAATCCCAATTAGTGTTTCTCTTCATTTTGCCACACATAAACCTAACCCCAAAATGCCTCTAAACCTGTTTTCCAGAGAGGGGGAAACACTGTGTGGACGTGGGCAAGTCCACACAACGTCGCTGCTACCTGGTTTATGTGGACATCTTTTGTTCAGAAGTCCACAAAGTGAATGTAATGCTGGTACACATGTATACACAAATAGGGCAACAGTCTCCTAAGTGTATGTTTGGTATGTACATAAATACGGGTTTGAATTTTGAAACTGTGCCAGTGGCCTGACTCCAAGGCCAGTCACACGTCCCAAAAAGTTCCAGCCAGCTTAAAACACGTCCGCGTCCCCACAACAAACACCCACCCCATTCTGGGGCATAACTCGGGCCTCGCGAACCATCACAAGCCTGCTGTCACCCACACAGAACTAATTGCTTCGACCTTTTGACGTTGCTCAAATGAAACCATTGAGGAGAGGACCCCCAGAAAGTTAGGAAAAACCCGGGCCAAAGAAGTCGCTTTTTAAAATCCAGTCACTCGTATCAAATTTAAACATGTAATTGTCACGTTCGTCTATGAGAACGTGACGCCAAGCAAAGAAAAATATGAAAACAATTTTTGGCCTTTCTTCTTTCTGTTGGCAGGTGCCTTTTTTATGAAATTTCAGAAGTATCCTTGGGAGAACTGTGGCAATGCACTTGATTGAAGGGCCATGAACCAAGTATTAGAATCTCACGGTTGGCTTGCCGCATTCTGCCAGTTGCATTTTTCGCCCCAGGTAGGGGGTATGTTGATAAACACAGCCACCAAAAAGTGTCTAGACCTTGAAATTCTTCGCGTCGAAGTGAAGCCAAAAACCGGGAGAGAAGTAACAAAAGAGGGAGAAAAAGAGCCGGGAGTGTGTCCCCAGGCTAGTGTTTTTGAACTAGCCTTGGATTTAATAACCAAGGATTTTCATAGATTTTGTTGTTGTATAGTTTTGACTCGTCTATTGTGCCTTTTGGGAAAAAGCTTTGTTGCACGTGTACGTGGAGAGGTCCACAAAAGAAGAACTGTTGAAATAAAAGAATTTTTTTGATACGCGATGAAAGAGTGGGGATGAGGTCGTTGCCAAAAATAAAATTTCAACAAAATAAAGCCGTGGAACTTTGTCTGAAATCCAGGATCGAATGCCATCGGCGTGTAGTCACCAGAATGAGTTCCTTTTTTAAGAAGACCTTGACAAGAATATCAACACATTCCAGTAATTTGGTTTGGCACGTTTCACGATTGAGGAAGTTAAATTACAATTTACGGTTCCGGGACCATTTCAACAGTCACCCAAAAAACATTTGAGAAATTATCAACCACCTATAAAGTTTCATTTCCTTGAGGTTTCATTTTATCCCCGACAGAATTGGTAAGACCCGGGTACTATTGATGGAAGAGACTTGAGGACTGCTTCTTTTTGATTCCATGCAGTATGGACTTTTACTTTTTTTCCCCACACCAAATTTCTCACACTAGTCCTCTGAAACCAAGTCACTTGAGCTGGCACTCAGAAATTCCAGTTAACTTCTAAATCACCACCAATTATCTTCTCCTAGCGAATCATTACCAAAAAGTTCACTTGGATTAAAGGGAATGTACATCATTGGGTTTTGCTGTAATTTTCGGAAATGAACTATATGAGGGGTTAGTATAATGGATCAAATATTGTTACACTGACATATTTACAGTTTTGTGTTCGAAAATGCTGAAAAAAACAAGAATTAAACAAAAATGTTCAAGTAGTCTGGTTTCCTGACTCCACCAAGTTGAAATGGATTAATTTATGGATGCCGGAGAATTGTAAGGTGAGGGAACCAGTCTAGCTGGCCTGCACCCGTTCATGTACATGTAACCAACAGCAAACAAAATTTGGACTGAAAAAAAATGGTAAAATTGGAGCAGTAGTTGAAAAATAGTTAGGTTTTTCCAACAATGGTCGGTTTTTCCAAAGGTGGTCGGCCGACCACCGTTGGAAATGTATACAAAAATACCACTTTTCTTGAAAATGACTTCACACCTGGTGCCGTTATTTTACAGGATGCTTTACACTGTCATTTACCAACATCCTAGTAAGGTATTTCGTAAAAACTGGGTAGTTTTATTTTTTGATGTTTGCAAATGTTGTATATTCCCTTTAAAGATTGTACTGGTACTAAACAGCCCGTGAAATCATTCCATATGGTTTACTGTCATATAAAAGAGTAATATTAACAACATCCCGTTTCGTCATCAAAAGGTTGCGTGTGGTTTTTCACTGTTTTCTCGAAAATGTAATATCCACTGAGCTGAAACTTGAACAGGTTAGGTTTTCAACATTATCCTTTGGATTTTGAGTGGTGTAGTTACTGGAAAGGAACAAACTGCATGAAAAAAAGGTCGCGATGTCTTTAACGCTTACATTGTAAATTATGCACATTACTCTAATTGTACTTTATGAAAGTTCTACAGAATTACCCACATACATGTATGTACGGTCCAGAAACCCAATTCCACATTGAATGAACACTAGTATAATCTATAGTTTCACCGGCAGCATATAGACCATTGAGACTAATGGCAGGTCACGACCCCTCAACCCTTCCCAGAGATGGGTTGGTCTCCAACTTCCATTACCGTAGACTGATGAGGATCGTGTCCTCAGCATGTGGTAATGCCTACGGCATTAAGTGTATACATGCACCCACTTTCTTCACCCATTTGATATTTCAAATCACTTTCATTCTCCCTTCCGCACCAATCCACGTTGCAATTTATCATTGTCTTCCAGGGTTGTAATCAAGTCATCACATGTCACACAAGTAGTCACATGTCACACAGATCACCACAAGTCATCACAAGACATCACATGTCACACACGTCATCACATGACCAACAGATCATCATAAGTAACACAAGACATCACAAGTCACACAAGTAGTCACATGTCACACAGATCATCACAAGTCATCACAAGACATCACATGTCACACACGTCATCACATGTCCAACAGATCATCATAAGTAACACAAGACATCACAAGTCACACAAGTCATCACATGCCACATACATGTAGATCTTCACAAGTCAAACAAGTCACACAAGACATCACAAGCACAAGTCACACATGTCATCATAAGAAATCACATTTTACACAGATCATCAGAAGTCACACAGATCATCACAGGTCACACAAGACATCACAAGTCACAATTGTAAGTCACACAAGTCACACAAGACAACACAAGTCACACAAGTCATCGTAAGAAATCACATTGCAAAGATCATCAGAAGTCACATAGATCATCACAAGTCACACTAGTCATCGTAAGAATTCACATTGCAAAGATCATCAGAAGTCACATAGATCATCACAAGTCACACTAGTCATCGTAAGAAATCACATTGCAAAGATCATCAGAAGTCACATAGATCATCACAAGTCACACTAGTCATCGTAAGAAATCACAATGCAAAGATCATCAGAAGTCACATAGATCATCACAAGTCACACTAGTCATCGTAAGAAATCACATTGCAAAGATCATCAGAAGTCACATAGATCATCACAAGTCACACTAGTCATCGTAAGAAATCACAATGCAAAGATCATCAGAAGTCACATAGATCATCACAAGTCACACTAGTCATCGTAAGAAATCACATTGCAAAGATCATCAGAAGTCACATAGATCATCACAAGTCACACTAGTCATCGTAAGAAATCACATTGCAAAGATCATCCGAAGTCACATAGATCATCACAAGTCACACTAGTCATCGTAAGAAATCACATTGCAAAGATCATCAGAAGTCACATAGATCATCACAAGTCACACTAGTCATCGTAAGAAATCACACTGCAAAGATCATCAGAAGTCACATAGATCATCACAAGTCACACTAGTCATCACAAGTCACACTTGTACTCACACTTGTATTAAAGTCACACAAGTCATACAAGTCACACTTCATCACAAGTGACACAAGTACACATGAGTCCTCACAAGTCAATCATAAGTCAATCACAGGGAATCCAGTACCAAGTCAAGTAACCAGCTATTCAAATGAACTGCAACAAATACACTTTTTTTGTCACTGTTCAAGCTCTAAGTTACTTGTGAACTGATCATTTGTTGACTGAGCAACTGACTAATTGTGATGGACAAGACTACAAAGATGTACGACCCTACTATCTTTCACTTTTCTTTTCAAACTGTCGTCTTACACAATTGGGTATTCTTTCAGACCACTAGCTGATATCAGCGAGGATTGATCCTTGCCATCTTAGAAACATGTACATGTAGCTAAGCGAGAGCACTTTTTTGTAAGTGGGCCCGGGGGGGGGGGGGGGGGGGGGGGGGGGGGACTGACAAAATGCAGAGTAGTCCAACACAAGTCAGGTCACTTGTGGGGACTTGTGAGGACTTGTGAGGACTACAACTTGGAACAGTACCAGTAGCTTACATTCATTCATTTGTGCGGTCGCACTGGAGGAAAAGCCATTATATACTAAGTGGGAAATGGAACATCACTCACAGGTCAAGCTGCTCAATATCTGAATGTTTTTGCAGGTCCTAGAGGGCCAGCCTAGTATCCTCTATATATCTGACTGACCAACTGACTGTCACTCGTGAACCGGGCAGTGCTGTTGTATAGGGTTACTCTTTATTGCCAATGAATAGGCTAAATCCAGCCAACAGTTGCACGAAAGAGCTTACAGTGAGAAGCCAATTGAAAACAATTTTGTGTACTAGCTTTACTATTTAAAGCTTGCCTTGTCTTGTGTCTTGAAAAATCTCTAGGACATGTGACACCCAGTGGTCTTGTACCCAATCTCAACATAATCCTTTTGGTCAAGAATAATTGTAAGTCATCATTCTTAAAATTGACCTTTTTTTCAAGCCCCCCCACCCAACACAAACTTGTTTATATGCTGGACAAATCTCACAATATCCTTGACTTTTTCCCCCTATAGTTGTCTAGCTCTCCTGGTGTCCAAAGAAAAAAAAACACTGGCGACTTTTACAAAGCCAGCCCTGTCATGGTCTGATGGCCAAGGTCTGTTGTGCAATCTCTGCTTGCACTTTTTGCTTCAATCACTTTGAAGAGAGCTTTTGATGAGTGTCAAGGCTTTGGACTTTCACAATAATAAATTCCACTTGTGAAAGCACAAGCTTCTTTAAAAAAAAAAAATGACAATTAGGCTGCAAGATTGGGACCTCGATCGGTCAAAATCAGGTCATCAATGGCAGAAATGTGGCATTTAGTTTTGCTGATGAAGTTTTCTATCAAATGCATCCCTTCTCCGCGGGACAATTGCTTGACAATCATCCCGTTCAAAAAAGTCTTGAATAACTTCTGTGCCACTCAGTGGTCCTGCACCCAACCTACACATAATCCTTTCGGACAAGAATTATGAAAGGTAGCCATTCTTACATGTACAGTATAATCGTCTTTGATATTTTGCCAGCCCCCGCCCCCAACACAAACTTGTTTATATACTGGACAGATCTCACAATGTCCTTGACATTTTATCCTTTAATGAAAGTATAGAAGTGTCTAGCTTTCCAGTGTCCAAAGAAAAAATCACTGGCGACTTTTACAAAGCTGGCCCTGTCATGGTCTGATGGCCAAGGTCTGTTGTGCAACCTCTGCTTGCACTTTTTGCTTCTATCGCTTGAAGGAAGATTTAGATAAGTGTCAAGGCTTCGGACTTTCGCAACAATAACTTGAACTTGTTTTTCATTGAGAAAGTGAAAGCGCGAAGCTTTATGAAAGCAGGATACTTTTTTCCCAAAAAAAAATGACAATTAGGCTGCAAGATTGGGACCTCGATCGGTCATAATCACGGCAACAATGGCAGAAATGCGGCATTTAGTTTTGATGATGGCAGTTTCTGGCCATCCCACTCTATCAAAGTTACCCTTCTGCCCACGCCAATGTTTTGGACAATCCTTCTGTTCAAATTATCGATGAGGCTATTAACAGACAAAATATTCTGGCTTCGCTTTGACAAAGAAGTTACGTTGGACAGGGCTCCTTGAATAAAAAAAAAAAATCAGCAAACAATTACAGTTCACGCCACAACAGTGGATTGGATCAGATTTCACTTTGGATGAGTTTTGGGGGATGAAGCAATCGGGCATGTGGTCAGCTGGCGTAATGACATGTTTACATAGATCTGTCAATTTGGAATTAACCCTAACCTAGCTAAATGCAACAGAAAGCAACAAAGGTAAAAAGTTGTTGCATACTGTTGCATTTAGCAGGCAACTCAAGTCCCCATGCTTTGCTGCATCTTGTTGCATTTAGCAGAGGTAACTGCTCATAGAGCCAAGGCAATACAACAGAATCCACTGTTGCATACCAGCTAAATGCAACAGAAAGCAACAAAGCTAAAGAGTTGTTGCACACTGTTGCAAATAGCAGGCAACTCAAGTCCCTGTGCTTTGTTACATCCTGTTGTATTTAGCAGGGTAACTGCTCATATGTCCAAGGCTGATACAACAGAATCCACTGTTGCATTTGATTGCATTTAGCAGGGTAACTGCTTGGTGCCAAGGCTGGTATGCACTGGGTTCACTGCACAATGCAACAGAATCCGCTGTTGCAATTTGTTGCACTTTGCCGGGTTCTCATTTCAGCCAAGTTGCATTTTGTTGCATTTGGCAGGGTGCTTAGAGAAAACCTGTTGGGGTTAGGGTTAAGATACTGGCTCCATGTTCATGCAAGGGACAGGTGGGCGCAACTACCTGTATACATGTATGTATGGCCACCTCCAAGGAACTGGTGGAACTATGTTCATGTACTGGTTCAAAGGCTAGCAATTTCCAATTGAATGTGTACCAAACCCGTCTTTAAAAAATAAGGCAATTAACTGTCCAGGGCTTTCCACTGTGTCTTGACTGATGCAACCTTATTATTAATGTGTTATTTGCTCAGGTAAAAATTGTGGTAAAAGTTACTTTTAGGTTTGTCAAGGGCTTTCCACTGTGTCTTGACTCATACAACCTTATTATTAATGTGTCATTTGCTTTAATAGGCAAAAATTGTGGTAAAAGTTACTTTTAGGAGGTTTTTAGGACCCCTCTATTTTGGAGGTTTGCTCAGTTCTGTAACTTCTTGCAAGGTGTTCATCATTCCAAAATTACATTTGCAGCCTCAAGCGTTTTTTTTTTAATTTAGATTGACACTGTGTTTTTATCATTTTGAACAGACTTACAGGGAAAATGTGACATTCTCGCCAGTTTGGGCAGCGAAAGATGTACCAACTGTTGCATTCTATGCTTGTCAATGTCAGCCCATGGTTATTGGCTGTTCTTTTAGTTCTCTCTAGTTACCCTACACACCCTACACCCCCCCTATCATTCAGAGACCAAAGATCATGTAACAAAAAACACAAGCCAATCTGCAAAGTGCTTTTAAACTTGTTCAGCTTTGTCACAATCTTTGTTTTCGAGTCATGTGTTTTAATCATCGTGTTTTACCCTGTAATTTCCCTCATAAATCAAAACCCTGCCCTCTTTCCACAAAATCAATGCTGTTGTTGATACTCAACATGGTATCACTGTCAGCTGTTAGATGCGTCAGAAAACAGAAAACTGGCATTTTGCCTACTTTTTTACGCAAGTTCGAAACTTGAAGAACATGTTTTCGTTCTCTTATATAGGATGGGGTCCTAAAAGTAACGATTTCAAAATTATAGTCAACTTGGGTACAACCAGTAAACAGTGTGAAAAGTATTTCTTGCCGACCCGTGTTCGACCCAAATAATGTTAAACGGCCTTCCAACTCTGTTCAGATCTGTACCTGATTCTATCATCTGGGCTAGGAGTTCAGGTCCTTCAAACGGTTGGGATGATGAGGAAGCCGAGGCAGTGGCTGCGTCCAGGTCCGTCTCGGAGCTGTCTCTCTTGAGACATTCCTGAGCCAGCTGTATGGAGCTGGACATGCTCATATTGCTCCACATGGAATCCATCATGCTACTGCTGGCGCTGCCTGTGGAATTGATTCAAGAAGAGGAGGACAAAATTGGGGATTTCAAAAGTGGTACAAAAGCACATTATCAAGTGTTTGTGCATGGAGTCCATGGGCTTCTAGACTAATGTTGGCAACCTCAATTAGAAGCTATTACAATGGGGAAGGGTGGGGGGGGTGGGGGGGGGGGGGGGGGGTGGGTCACACCCAAGCGAAAGTGGTGAGAACACACTAAATGCTCCTCCAACCAATGGGGTATGCATGCCTAGACTTCAAGAATGTATGTGAAGTGCCCATGTGAGTGGTTCCATTGGTTTAGAATTGAGGTCATCGAATTACCGGTAATCTACAGATGTTTAGATCATGATCATGCGCACTCCGTGCAATATGCGCACCAATCACTGCACACATACCCAGTCCTGCAATTACTGAGTCTTGTGACTAGGCTATAGTTCCTGCATGGGGTCCATACCGGTACCTCCTCCAAAGCCCTACGACGTATTATCTCAGCAAACAGCGCCTGGTTGGGTAAGCTCATTAAATCTCGATACGCCCGAGTGTGCACAGCCGTGCGGTTCGCGATATTTCCTGTCACTGACAACGACTTATCGGTAAGTACGCAGACTTCTCACGTAAGAACGCTTAGGACTAAACGTTAAGCGGCCTAACTCAGCTTTGTCTCCAACTTTGGCCCAGACATTTTCAATGCTCTAATCAAAAGAATATGCTCTTAAAGGCATGTATGATCATGTGCAATTATCCCCAAAGTAACCTACCGAATTATTGCCAAAACTCTGTCTTGGATTAAAGATTGTACTGGTACTAAACACCCCATGCAATTAGTCCATCTGGCTTGCTGTCATTTTGAAGAAATCAAGAAATGTGGGTAATTTCCAACGATCAGTCAATTGACAGATTGTTGGAAATAAAGAGTGCTATTGACAAAAGGTTGTGCACGGGGGGGGGGGGGACGACAGCCCCCCCCATGAAACCGTGTCGCCCCCAGTCGCCCCCCCCCCCAGAGATTTTGAGTTTCTAAAAAAATTATCATTGATCTACATGACGCCCCCCCCCCCCCCCCATGAAATGTTCCAGCCCCCCCCCCTCCCCCAGCGGCCCCCCACTGAAAAATTCCTGGCTACGCCACTGCCCCACACACACCCCCCTCCTGCCCCTTCCCATTCTAGATTTACCATTAGCTTCCGTGTTGAGCCGGTACTTGGGCTGGAAGGTCAGCTTGAGACCCTTGATCTCCACTTTGCTGTTGGCTGTCAGGAGGGCCGACCAGGGAATCTCCACGGAGATGCTGCCCACCGTGCCATCTCGCATCTCAATGGGAGCGGCCACACTCTCCAGGAGTTCATTTAAGGCCTGGGAAGACAAACAGAAGTAGAATCGAGAAATAAAAAGCTGATGCTTCTCTAGGGTTTAAAATATCATATTCATAAATACCTAGGACAGTTTACCCATTCCTATTGGTGGCGAGCTCGTCACGTGGGTGGTTTTAAATGGTTGATAAAACACCGGCTGGCTGGTTTAAACATTTTCCTGTGTCACATGAAATTGGACTCCTATGAAATCCGTTCCCTTTTACCCTATTATTGGGTTACATAAATATCACTCTGGAGACTTTATGATTGAATATTTTTTAATAAGTGTAACGGTAGAATATGACTTATACCCAAATGATGTAAGGGCACTAAAAAGAAATTTCCATCAGTGCACAGTATAAGGAAAAGTTTCAAATGCAAGGGATTAAAAAATTTTCCATGTCCCTTTTGTGTAACGTGAGTTACCAATACAAACCCTATTGCTAAACCAATAGTTCATTTTGTTGGCCTTTTTTTGTTGAAGTTTAGTCACTTAATTTCAACAGATCTCCTGTGAGAAACATCCACCCTCAATGCTTTGACTTTATAGAATTACTGCACAGAGATGACGGAACATGCTCTCCAAATGTAATGTGAGTTACCATGGAATTGCCTACAGCAGAATTTTTCTCAAAAGAAAAAGATTCTGCTAGTATCAAAGCGTGAAATCTGATGCTTCTTCCTAAAATGAGACAATCCGGCAATGGCTCGTTCTACCCCAGATATGATTTCCTGAATCTACTCCATTATATTACATTTAAACATCTATCAGGATATTGCACTCAAACTCCTCTTTCATGGGAAAAAAGTACCAAGTTCTAAAGGAAATAAGCAACACAAACCAGAGCTTTTTGAGGAATTTGAATTTGAAATAATCTTACCACTTTTTTTTTAATGCAAAAATTGTTCTTTACACAAAATTGAACAACTGGCACAATCATGTGCCATTTTCCTAACAATAAAAAAGTTAGCCTATTCATTTTTGAATGAGACACCGAACAAAAAATCCACTGACAGTTATTGAATTGTTTATTTTTTTTTTAAACAGCTCAAAAACAGGTTCATTTGTGAGCAAAATCAAAGGCCTTTTTCAGAGGGTTGCAGACGCCCAAAGTCGGAATAAAGTATTTTTTTTGCTAAAACAAGACACACAAATCAAAAATTTGTTGGGAGAACAAAAATTCATTTTTTGAAGAGCACGGGGAATGCATCTTTAACCAAATGGCCCTTTAAGTGTTAGATAACACTTGAGCACCTCAGTCTACCCCCCCCCCCAAAAAAAAATCAACCATAAAATGGCAGGATGGCCATTACCACTTGAGATGTTGATTCTATGTCAGACAACCTCAGACAAGCAAGCCTAATCAAAGCCATCCTTAATCCATTGTGACATTATAAGGCCAAGTAGATGGTCCTTGATGCAACAAGCTGAAGACACTAGTACCCTGGGGATAACCACACAAAGCATGTTTATGCATCAGTCTTTACTGTTAAAGCTATAGTCCATCATTTGCAGCTATCCAAAAAGTGACTGACGTAATTATTGTTGAAAAACATACTTGGTTGAAAGATAGTAAGGGGACTAAACTCCCTGTGTAATTATTCTTTCTGGCAAGCTGTCATTCTGAAGAAATCAACGAAGGAATGCCTTTCCAACAGTACTTCTTCAGACGCACCGTTGGAAATTTCCGTTAGTAGTTTGTTTTTTTATTCAGCGAATCGCGCGCAAGCGTTGACACGATGCACACGCGCGCGCGGTTGCTAAAATTCGTCGGATCAGTAGCTGCATTTGGCTCAGTGAGAACGTGTCTCGGACGCTGAATTCAGGCCCAATTCGAAACATGATTCAGCAACTTTTGATTTGAAATCGAGATCCTAGAATGCTGTTTTTCTCAAAATATACAGCTGAAGCTGAGCTGAAAGTTCATCAGGTTAGTTGTTTATCACCCTTCTTTAGATTTTGAGCACTTTTGTTGCTTCAAACGAACAAAATGCACAAATTACAAATGATGGACTGTACCTTTAACTTTAACAATTCACAATTATTACCCCTGTTCATCATCAGGCCATGAGACCAGTTTCTGCTATAGCTAGAGATCAGTGCAATTTGGTCTCTACCTTCACAGGTACCCATTTATAACTCTAGGAGGGGAGAAAACTATTGTAGTGAAGTGTCTTGTCCAAGAACACAAGCACCATGTTCCCAATCAGGGAACACTGTAAACAACGGACCATGGTGCTGATAGCATCATGAATCCTTCTTGTGAATTATGTATGGTTCTGAAGAAAAGAAAAACTGTTTCAAAATGGTATTCCCTCTGTATGGCTTCAGAAGACATTGATGAGGTTCTCTGGGAGATGTACGGTACACAATACAGCAGAGTTGTAACAAGTCACTAAATTTTGTGACTCTAGTCCAGTCAAGTCATTTCAAGGAAGTGACTCGAGTCGAGTCGAGTCATTGGGTGAAGAAGGTCGAGTTGAGTCGAGTCAGAACGTGTGGTCAAGTTGAGTCGAGTTCAGTCAAATATATGCGAGTCAATTTGAGTCACTGAAAATTTAGCTTATCCCTTTGTGAAATGTTTAATTAATAGTTATAAATGCCAGTTTTCTTCCTACACCCAGAACCAATGTCTTAATACATGTACTACACATGTATTATACATTTCTAGTGCGCACCACATTCAGGAGCTTAGTTCACGCATCATGGAACAGCTCCGAGCCACTACCGGTAGGTTCAACAAAAGAATTACACATTGGTTAAAAAAGAAAAACTGCAAACAATAACCAGCCAATGAACTACAACTGTGAGAATCAGCACACTACCCCACAGGTGCAAACAGGTGGAAAGAATTAGGCCAATGACTTTTGTATGGATAGATAATGCCCAAATCGATCATTTTTCATTTGTAAACTTGACGAACCTAACCCCACCCCCCCCCCCCTCTCTCTTTCACCAGCGCTGAGCCACATCCATGGTACATTTTACAAGTAAAATGCCCCGGCAAGGTTGTAGTTGGACAGCAAGGCTGTCGCTTGGCAATGACAAGGGATTTGTTCTATTCTTCTTTGAATCCAGGCACCGAGGTTCTTATCAAGGTTTCCTTTACAGACTCTGCTTTTCGCCGTTGCGTAACAATGTAACAAGTTACAGAGTTGCAGTCAGGTTACAGAATCTGGTACACTTTCCGGTAAAACTGTGCTGGATGAATGTTCTGGGTAACATTCAACAAACAAAAAATGTATCTTTTTTACGGTATACTCAAAGTGGTCTTGGAGGTTCCTGCAAAATGTTACAATTACTATATTTTGAGGTTTGATGGTCCTCCAAAAAAGAAATTCAAATAATTTGCCAATGTTGGTTTACTGAGCAGTGAGGTATTTTGAAGGATAAAGGAAGGATTGCAGCCCCCAAAACCCAACACCTTTGGGTTAATCGTAGCATAGTTGTCAAGTGCAGAAGAATCCACACAAAGTCAGTCGAAATGTTCAATACATATCGTCAGGATGTTCAAATTTTCTGCAGATAGATTTGACAACGCTGCACCTTACAGCTTCCTTTGAAAATTGTGTGTCCCTATATCTGTCCCCCTCACAGCCACCTAACCCCCTCCCCTCCTAGCCACCTAAACCCCTCCACCTCCCAGCCACCTTAACCCTTCCCCCTCCCAGCCACCTTACCTCTCCACCTCCAAGCTACATGTACCTTACCCCCTCCCATCCCAGCCACCTTAACCCCTCCCCTCTGAGCCACCTTAACCCCTCCCTCCCAGCCACCTTAACCCTTCCTCCTCCCATCTACCTTACCCCTACCCCTCCCCCTCCCAGCCACCTTAACTCCTCTCCTCCCAGTCACCTTAACCCTTCCCCCTCTGAGCCACCTTAACCCCTCCCCTCCCAACCACCTTAACCATTCCCCCTCCCAGCCACCTTACCCACTCGCTTCCAAGCCACCTTAACCCTCCCCTCCCAGCCACCTTAACTCCTCCCCTCCCAGTCAGCTCAACCCTTCCCCCTCCCAGCCACCTTACCCCTCCCCCTCCCAGCCACCTTAACTCCTCCCCCTCCCAGTCAGCTTAACCCTTCCCCCTCCAAGCCACCTTAACCCTTCCCCCTCCGAGCCACCTTAAACCTTCCCCCTCCTAGCCACCTTAAACCTTCCCCCTCCCAGTCACCTTAAACCCCTCCCCCAACCACCTTAACCTCTCCCCTCCCAGCCACCTTAACCCTTCCCCCTCCGAGCAACCTTAACCCCTCCCCCTCCGAGCCACCTTAACCCTTCCCCCTCCTAGCCACCTTAACTCATCCCCCTCCCAGTCACCTTAAACCCCTCCCCCAACCACCTTAACCTCTCCCCTCCCAGCCACCTTAACGCCTCCCCTCCAAGCCACTTTAACCCTTCCCCCTCCTAGCCACCTTAACCCCTCCCCCTAACACCTTAACCTCTCCCCTTCCAGCCACCTTAACCCCTCCCCCTCCCAGTCCCCCTCCAAGGCTCCTAAGCGTCCTTGTGCTATGCTATAATTAATTAAAAGTCACGAAACACCACATATTCACAAGTTCACAGCTCTGTTCCTCGAATCAATCAATCCAAGTATATCGACCAACGGCAACCTTAAAAGATGCCAAGACCGTGCATGTACTTTCAGGCAAGGGTTAAAATGGGATCAATTTTTCATGGGGTTCGGCCAACCTTGGGTGCGAGGTGCCCTGGAGATCTGCCATTGAATATTCATAGGCTTCTTGGATCAAAGCCAATTTTTTTTCCACTGAGGATAAGGTACGAAAATTTGGGTTTGATGGTGGGGGGTTATGTCAGCTTAAAAAAAAACAATGTACATACATGTATGCCTATCTTAGGGGAAGGTTTGAGTAGTAATCTTGAAGAAAAGATAATTTTCCCAGGGACTGGCAACGATTAAGCATCCTCCAGGAAGTCGAACTGCTTATAAATTCTTAAAGAACTCAAACGAAAATTATACCAAGGTCCTTACTATGATA